GTATATATTTCGCTATATACATCCGATATATTTACTATCGGCATCTGCGTAACGGTCAGAGTTGACCTGTTCGTCTATTTGTGATTTCACCGCGATTAAAAATATTCGCGGTTTAATAGAAAATTTGACTTTTATATAACACAAATGTTATTAGCAAAATTAGGAAATTATTCAGTTTTTGGTCCATTCAACCCCTAAATATTATTCGATCATCTCCAAAAACAATAGGGTTCTATTCTGGCCCTAACCTCACCTCCATTTTCAATTTCGTGAGGATTGGACCATAATTGCGACCTGAAGAGTGATTACAAATTAATATGGACGGACGGACGAACATACATAGCTAGATGGACTCAGCTCGGCGAGATAGGAAGATCCATATATTTTTCTATGTGGGAAACCAATATTTCGAGGTGTTACATAATTTTTGGCCCAATCAAACTAATAATACCCCCAGCACATAGTGTTGTAGGGTATAAACATATCGGAATTGAAACTGAACTTCTTTTCAAGGTCAAACATGAATAAATGTGTGGAGATTCATTATTAATAAAGCAAATTATCTAAATATCAGTATGAAATGGCTCACTTTGCAAGTTCACCGTGGAAGTAGTTTCAGACTATTCTTATTTGATGCAATTTCCCAAGTGAAGCCTTTAAATGCATTTTCTTATATTTTCTAAATCTTTTCAATGAATCTGGTCACTCTTGCATGCATTGCTTTTACATTTCGTCATAAAAAAAAAAAAACTTAAATGAGGAATTTTAAACATGAAAATAACTTCGCTGGAACAGAAACGCAAGAACATTTATTCAATCGTTGTCGTGGTACGCGTTGATACTCTTTTCAAAAGCCTACGATGGGGCTCAAGTTTAACTTAAATATCTCATTCATTATGCTCCCAATATTAAATGACAGAGACGTGTTGTGACGACATTCAGACAGACGTTGTGTGGCAGCAATACCTACTAAAAAAACACAAAGTAATCTGCAGTTGGTTGTGGATTTAAAACGGTAATATACCTAGAAAAAGAAAATAAAAAAGCAAAAGAATATCGCTAGAATCAGCGGATTTATGATACAGTACAGCGATGTTGACAAGAGAAACACTAGTCACTAAGTCCATTTAAATTAAGTCATGCTCGGAGCAGAGGTGTATAAGCATAAACTACAGATAGTTTTCAAATGAGAACAATGGCAAAGAAGCAACACAAAGAATGGCATTAAAACCAGAGTAACAACACCTAATGAAGTGAAATAACCGTCAACGAATTTAAATTACGCGCGCGCGCAATATCTTCTAGTGACGTGCTGTGCTTACGTTATTAACTAACTTCGCTTCGTTACACACCCGCTACACCTCCTCATATGTTTCACGGGTAATTGTCTATTTGGTTACTCTGCCCGCGTGTCATTTGGTTATTTATATTTCTCTTATTACTGTTCTTGTTGTTCTTGTCCGCCGTGTTGTTTTCCACCGTTTTTTTTTTTTTTTTTTTTTCATTTTTGTTTTCTGTGTCAGTCACATGGATGGATAATTTCTCGAGTTACAATAACTATCCCCGGCGTTTCCATTGTTGTTATTGCATTTTTAAAGTATTGATGGTCGATGGAGCACAGTGTTTCGAATTTTAAATACAAAAAATCGAGCAAACTCAATTATTCGGTGTCGCTCGAATGGGAGTGAGCATGTTTTTTTCGTACTTTATTTTGAGCCAGTCTGCTCTTACTCTAATTTTCAAACAGGAGTGATACGGGAGCGCTACGCTTAAAAATTCCCACTCTTCGAGCAATCCTGCGATCCTTGGGAACAAGGTCCGCCCTTAGTAAAAATATGTGCTACGTCAAAAAATTTAGGAAATTTGTTGAGCCTTGTCGTAATTCCGCGAGATGTAGCTTCAGTTGAGATATATCTCCATTGTATATATATTGTATTCGATCTCAATACTTTTGTACCCTAAATGCTTACTATGACCAATCGGGATGAAATCAATCCTTAATGAAGAAAATTCGGTTGGTTCACTCCACAAGGATGTAAAACTAGAAGGGCCGATTATTAGAATACATGCTGGAGAGTACACGCTGAGAGTATTTTTCTCTCTCACGTACAAAAAGTTATCAAACGACGTTTTAGAATAAGTTTAGATTTGTTCGAATTGGGACGAAACCGTCATACGCTGCCCGAATGTTGCTCTGCGGTATTTTGGCCCATTCCCGGCGAAGTGCTTGCTTGAGGTGATCGACACTTTGGTATTTTTTAGTGCCAAACTTGCTTTCCAAAATACCCAGACACCATAGTCCAACGGATTGGTATCCGGAGATTTTAGTGGACATTGTGCGCTGGAAATGAAGCGAGGAATATCATTTTGTAACCATTCTTGGGTGGCGCGTGCTGAGTGCAATGGTGCTAAGTCCTGTTGGAGTGTTCAAGGTCTGCGGCCAAAATGTTTGCGGGCCATCCATCAACATCCAGAATATTTTCGCGATAATATACGGCATTTATTCTGATTCCTCGGTCGATTAATACGAGCGGAGAACGACCGTCGGCTATTATGGCGACCCACACAATAACCATGGCCGGCGCTTGAGTTCTGGAGGCCAACCAAAGTTGCATGTTTTCAGCTGACCTCTTTGGCAAGTAAAAACGATCATTTTGTTTGTTTACAAACTGCTGGATAATGAGAAAACCAAATTGGAGAAAACCAAATTCCGCAGTTTAACACTTTCGGCCAAGCGAAGCTACTCTTTAGCTCTTTTGAGTTGCTTCCTGTTGCTGTGTAAGTTCTTGCACTTTTTGGAATTTCAAAGAATTTACCCCGACCTCATTTTTCAATATTTGCCTAATGGAATATTGCGATATGTTCATCTCATGAGCCATTTTTCGGCCACTGCGACGCGGTTTCGATCAAGTCGCTTCTTTTCTTTTAGAACCATATCTGCTGATCTTGCTGTTTTCCTTCACGTCGAACTACGCTAACAGCATCGCGGTAACGAGCCGTGGTACGAGACACATAAGATTTATTCACATTTAAATGCTGGAGTGCTCTAACGATAGCCACTTGTGGTTTTCCAGCCAAATATAAAGAAATCACGCTATCACGCTTGAATTCCATCACGAATAACTTTTCACACATTGTAAACAATGCCACTGGAATAATTTGTCGGGCAAGTGGCTTAGAAATGACAGCAGTCTGAAGGTTGGTTGCAGTTTTTTCATCTCACCCTGTATATCATTTGAAACGGCCAAAACGTTCTTCATCGAAAATACGCTTGTAGACCCTAGATCTCTCTGGTCCAAATCCGTTTAAGAATATTTGAAGGAAGTATCCGATTTGATCCAAACTTGGTACATCGTAATCGTTGTCAAACTCAGATCGAGTTCGGAGATGGGCAATATCGGTCCACTCCTCCTGGTACCTTCCCCACAAAAGGTCAAAATTTTGAATATCCAAGTAGATCATCAAACGCGAAATTATTATCCGCTTCCATTCAAACTTGCAACATCTCAAAATTTCTTCCAACGCAAGGTCTGTTATTCTATTGAGACTTGGTACATCTTAATATTTACATAAACACAAGACCTGTTATAAAAATATTTTTTCACCTTACAACACAGGTTGGGGATATTATATACAGATTGCAATTATCGTCCGATCCTCATGAAAATTTTCACGAGGGTAGGGTTAGGCTCAGAAGGGCTTGGTCTATTGTTTTTAAAGATGTCCGCAATATATATTTGGGGGTTGAAATGGACCAACAACAAAATATGTTCCAGATTTTGCAGCATTTGTGAAAAAAAATACCAACATAACTTACAGGCGATATCCGAAACACAAAAGTCGAATTTCTGGCTTTTTTATGCTGATTTTTATGCTGACGAATATAGCCAAATATCGTAGATAAGCAAATCATATATATGAGTGTAGATTTGGAAATACAGAGGGGCCTCTTGCTTATGGAGATGATCGCAAAATATTTAGGGGTTCAAATGAACCAGAACAGAAAAAAAATTCTGATATCACAATTGAAGCCATTCGACACGCATGAGAAGAGAGTTAAGGACAAGGAAAAATTCTAGCATTTTGGTTGACCATTGGTTTATATTTATTCGTAAAATGGAACACAACAACTAACAGCACGACGGAGTGAGTAAATATTGGGCAAATATTCGTGGTCAAAATGCTAAGGGTTAAATCTGGGCAGTGCTCCGTGACAAACTTTCAAAAGCGAAATCTTCCAAAATGGATTTAGACATAAGGGGGCTTCTAACATAATGTAGCGTTGTAAGGTACTACATAGTCGGTCCCGCACGACTATAGCCGTTGCTTGCTTGTTTTTATGTTGATTTTAATATTTTTCATTTTAAATCGTAACACTGTGCGACTCTATGGATAACTAATGCTTTCGTTTACTACTACTTTTACTATGTTTTGTTGTTGTTGTTCATGTCGTTTTTGCATTATTTATTTACATTTAGTGTGCCAGTAACAACAACAACAACACCTCAAAATACCCCCAAATAACGCAAAGAAAATACCTACCTTCAAAACAAAAAGAAAATCCACAACTCAACTATCGAAAAAATAAATAAAAAACAAAAAACCAAAACATAAAAGCAACAAATTACAAACGAAATGGAATTCCATATCACCGCTGCCAGAGCATAAACTGCGCTTGGGTGTTTTTACGATGCGGACGATGGAGTAACGGTGGTGTTGGCGGTGTTGTTGTTGTGGCAGAAGCAGTAGCTTCAGCGGTATTGGCATTACCTTGTACCACTACTGCCATTCATTTCAATTCCTCAGCCACTGTCACAACATTCCGAACGAATTGACAACAGAGTAGCGCAGAAGTAAACAAATAAAGCCCAACGAAAGTTTCCAACGTCTCTCCGTCCGTTGTCCTACGTCTACGTCTTGTAGTAAGCATTAACGAAGAAGAAGAAGCATTCATTGTTAACCGCTGCTCACGGTTGTCAATGCGACGAATTGTTGCGTTACTCATTAACATCCGTGCAATCGTTAGAAGTGCATCGAAACGAAAGTATTTCGCCCATTGTTGTCGCGCTTGTGTTCCGTCGAGTGCGGTTTGTGTGTGTGTGTGAATCGAAAATAAAGAAAGAGCACCAAAGAAATCCTGCAAAAAGAAAAATGTAAAAGATCTCCATAAAAAAAATATTCCCATAAAAAATCAAATTTTCAAAAGAAAAGTCTCTCAAGAGATTTTAAAAAGTAGCACCTCAAAGTGTTTTGTGGCTTTTTTGTGTAGTGTCTCCAAACAGTGTCAAGTGCGTGTGCCATTCATTGTAGAGTGTACCCACATCGTGTGTGGGAGTCCGTGTGCCATATTTATTAGCGTCGGAGCTTCTGCCTGTCATTTGCCGCCTTATCGCATACATCTCACCATCTCTCTTTCTCGCTCGATTCCCGATTCTTTATTATGATACAGCTGATTAGTTTGTCATCTCGTCTGTCACCGTCATCATTACCTGTTGTCACTACTACAACTACTATTCGTGTTGTTGTTGCTATTGTTGTGATTGTTGCATATCATCGTCTCCATCAATTGCTCCTTGTTGCCATTTCAAGTGTTGTTTGTGTTACCCGTTGTTGTTGTTGTTATTATCATTGTTGTTGTTGTCGTCGTCGTCACCGTTGTCAACGCCACCTTTAATCAATGTTTGGTTTTTCTTCTCTCAGTAATTGTGGAGCTGTTGCATGGCAGCGAGTTTTATTTGTATTCACATTCATCTGCCAGCGATTCAACATGTTCCTGGGACGCAGTGAATCACTGAAATGGATACGTCAAAAATTCACAAAACGGGTGAGTGGTCAAGATATGATATATTTGAAATCTACATAGTAATAATTTTGAGCCTTGTGGCTGCAGAGAGTATGTACCCTTTTGATATGGTCAAAGGCTTAGATGGAGTCGGTAAAAGAGCAAGATTTACCAACTTATTCTTGTACCTTCACTGTACCTCTCATTCAATGAGGAATTAATTACCGATACATAAAATTCGGCACATTTTAATATTTCTTTCATTATCAAATTTAGTGCGACAAACAAGACCGAACATTTTATACCCCCACATTTTGGAAAGTACTCATGTAAAAAATGATAATAAATGCCCAAATTCCAGTATTCGAGGGATATGCGTTACTTGTGTTATTAGGAACGTCTAATTCAAAAAACAACCAGTAAGGAAAAGTCGGATGGAGCCGACTATATGATACCCTACACCACTATGCATATTTAGTAGAGCTCCCGTAACGAAATAATTTACTTGAAGTAGATCATACCAACTATCAACATTTGGCTTTAGAGCAGTTACAGTTTGGTTTCAGAGGGAACTAATATGTGGGAGGCATATCCAATTCTGAAACGATTTCCACTAAATTTGACGGAGTCATTTTAATCTTTTATACCAAATAACATCGCTATAGAGGGCATGATATCACTTCGAGAAGGCGAGTTCCACAAAATGGAAACGTAGGTTCCGAAATTCACTCCATTTGGGCTGATATTAGCCATTATTTTATAATAAACCAGAAATCGGATTAAGAATATATATGGGAGCTATATCCAAATCTTAGCCGTTCTCGATAAAATTTTGCAAAGGTATTTCCGAGCTCTATAAGATATCTGGTACCAAATATCATTGTTGTCGAATTCATATTACGAATATAAGGGACTTAAACACGGATGAAACATATATATGGGAGCAATAGCTATATCTGAATCGATTTTCTTCAAATTTGATATACTTGCTTCGAGACTGAATTCGGTGGGATATGCCAAAATCAAGTCATTTGGACTGATATTGGCTTTTTGGTGGACAATTAACCCGACATCGTTTGAATATATATATGGAAGCTACATCCAAATCTTAACCGATCTTCACAAAATTTGATACACTTATTTCACAGCTGTATCTGATATCTGGTATCAAATATCATTGTTATGGAATTCATATTACGCATGTCAAGGACTTAAAACCCCAAATCGGATGAAACATATATATGGGAGCTATAGCTTTATCTGAACCGATTTTTACCAAATATGAAGTACTGGTTTCTAAGTCGAATTCAGTCATAATGGCCAAACTTCAGTCCGGTTGTGCTGTTATTAGCCATTTGGTGAACGATGAACCTGAAATCGGATATGGACATTTTACAATAAGTTTAGATTTGTTCGAATTGGTCTCCTTTGGCACGAATTATGGCCTTCAAACGGTCAATGAAACCGTCACACGCTGCCCGAATGTTGCTCTGCGGTATTTTGGTCCATTCCCGGCGGAGCGCCTGCTTGAGGTGATCGACATTTTGCTATTTTTTAGTGCCAACCTTGCTTTCCAAAATACTTCAGACACAATACTCCAACGGATTGGTATCCGGAGATTTTGGTGACCATTGTGCGCTGGAAATGAAGTGAGGAACCTCATTTTGTAATAATTCTTGGGTGGCGCGTGCTGAGTGCGATGAGTCCTGTTGGAATGTCCAAGTTCTGCGGCCAAAATGTTTGCGTGCCCAAGGCTATAATACACCCTCCAGAATATTTTCGCGATGATATTCGGAATTTTTCTGATGCCACGGTCAATTAATACAAGCGGAGAACGACCATTAACTGTTATGGCGGCCCACACCATCACCATGGCCGGCGCTGGAGTTCTGGTGGCCAACCGAAGTTGCACATTTGCAGCTGACCTCTTTGGCAAGTAAACACGATCATTTTGTTTGTTTACAAACTGCTGGACAACGAATGTTTTTTCATCGGAGAAAATCAAATTCGGAAGTTCAACACTTTCGCCCAAGCGAAGCAACTCTTTGAGTCTATTTTCTTTCTGTTGCGGTGTAAGTTTTTGCACTTTTTGGAATTTCAATGGCTTTACCATGAACGCATATCTGCCGAATGGAATATTGCGAATATTCAGCTCACGAGCCATTTTTCGGCCATTGCGACGCGGGTTTCGATCAAGTCGCTTCTTTACTTTTCACATTTAAATGTTGTAGTGCTCTAATGGTAGCCACTTGTGGTTTTCCAGCCAAATATAAAGAAATCACACTATCACGCTTGAATTCCATCACGAATAACTTTTTTTCTGGAAAATTCTCACCAGAATGCATTTGTACGCTTGTAAACAATATAATGAGCTGTCACTGGAAAAATTTTAATAGCTGTCGGACGGGTGGCCTAGAAATTGAAGTTGGTTGCTATTTGTTCATCTCACCCTGTATTTTCCAAATAAGAAAGTAAATACTTCAAAACAACAATAAAAACATGTTTTGAGATCAAAAAATTTAGATTTTTTCAAACAGTAATAAGTTGTCATGTCATATGCTATAGGAAAGTAAAATAAGAATAAGTAAAAACGCAACATAACCTTTAAAAGCCTCCATTTTTAAAGGAGCTTGCAAAATACAAAAAAGTTCCGTTGGAAAATTAAAATCAATGGACATAGAAATAGTTTTGGCTCAACAATTCATAGTAAAAATACTTGTGGGCGCCAGCAGATTTTGATCCGAAGGCGATCCATAAAAAATGTAAAGACCTTCTTCTTTCTGTAAAGACATTCTTCGGGTATGACTGAAACACAATTTACACAAAATTCCATAATCAAGTCTAGCATTACTTATGGGACATATATGTTAAATAAATATAGATTCAAGCCTCTGTACTACATTGGGATCTGGACCTAGAATCTCCTAAAATATTTAATAAAAGCAAATGTGTTGCATATCACCTACCTGGAGTTTTTCAGATTTTCTTAGCTTTTAGCTCTTAGTCATAACAGACTTTGATATTATTTGTGTTTTCCCTCATGTTGGAGATTATACAACGTTAAATAATTTCAAATCAATCAAATTTCCAAAATAGATATCACTCCAACTCAAACACCATAATATTTATAATAATAAATAATTTTGGCGCACCTTAAAAACCGACAACAATAAACAATTTATTTCGATTTCATTTTACACCAAAACATAGCCCATCAAAATTCTAGAAATGTTTCAATTACACACATACACACAATTTTGTGTAAAATACACTTGACAATAAACAAAATAGCATAAACAAAAAAAAAAAAAAAATAAAGACATGAGTGACCGGCCTAACGATGCGCCGCTTGGCGCGATTTCATGTTGGGCAAATGAAACTAGTGAAACCTATCCAGAGACATGACCATATCATCCATGGCATAATAATGAGAAGTTAAATACTTTTCCAAACTCTGTCTGACGTTGCCATAACGAGCCGCAATACGGAATGCCGGCCTGCCAAGTAATTTCTGTGCAATTTCTAATCAACAAAACCAATTTCACTCCAAAACAAAAGTTATGTTCGACTTTTAGTAGTTCGTCGTTGTAATTAAATTATGCTGTCACTTTTAATTGAAAGAAAAATGACTTTTCATTAGTGTAAGGTTGGGGTTTGACATGTTAAATAGGGGGAAATAAGCACTCCTTTATTGGTGGTTCAATTCCTTGAAGGGGAGGCAGGGCATTTAAGCATAACCCAGAGTCATAGGTATGTTTTTATGCTCGCCTACACTACGTTTACTCCCTGGCATTAGTTTATGTGGTTGTAGTTGTTATTATTAAAATAAAAAAATACAGAATAAGGGTAGAAATATTCCATTAAAAATGTTTTCCATAAGCCCTGTTTTATTACAACTTCCGAACACTCCTGTTTCTTATTGTCTTGGCTTAACATAAATTTCTAAATGTACTCCTTTTCCACGGAGAAGGAAAACCATCGGAAGTTGGTTTAAATACTACTCCTCGAATATTTGTTGGCAAATAATGTTGAAGATAACCGGACGAAGTTGTAGCCGCAAATAAATGCAGTCTTTTGTTTTGCATACTTTTCAACCCTGAGTCGGGTGGTTGGAAGGAAGTTCGTTCAAACATTTCATATTGCTTTCAATCACGCAAGTATCATAGGCGTGAACTGGTAGGTTGTGTTTTTTTTAATAAAAATAAAATAAATTCAAATGGGATTTACAGCCAGCCCTAGTTTTACGCTAATATTGTCCACATGAACGAAGTGAATCATGTAGGACATTTTAGAGGGACTTAAAGATTTGTACAAGATGTGACACGATTTATATTATTCCAATTAAATTCGCTTGAAGTGGGGATGCAAGAATTATTCCATGGGACTGTTTTTAAATATTAAGAAATATGAAAAACCAGTAATGAAAGGCGGGGCCGACTTTATGATACCCAACACCACTTTGCTAATTTAGTAGAGCTCCACATAACAATTAAAAGTTTTTATGGGAGATATATCCAAATCTGAACCGATCTCGATAAAATTTAGCAAATGTATTGCTGAGCTGTATATGATATATGTCCCCAAATATTGTTGTTACGGAGTACATATTACGGCTGCGGAGGACAAAAATAATAAATCGGATGAACAATATATATGGGAGCTATAGCTATATCTGAACCGATTTCGATCAAATTTGGCATACATATTTTCAGGCCTAATTTGGGTGTATATGCAAAATTCCATATAATTCGTGCTGATATTACACGTTTGGTGCACAATAAAAGGCAAATCGGACGAAGATATCTATGGGAGCTATATCTAAATTTTGACCGATTATCTCCAATTTCAATAGGGTTCGTTCTTGGGCCAAACAAATGATTTGTGCAAAATTTCATCTGGATAGGGCAATAAATGCGAACTGTACTTTGTTTACAAAAATACATGGACAGACGGACAGACGGACCGACGGACGGACATGCATAAATCGACTCAGAATGTGATTCTATGCAGATCATCAAAAGGAACTATGGTTCTATCTCGTT